TTTGGGCTCTACGAAGGAGGCAGGTGGCTGTTGGGAGGCAACGGCGGGGACGCCGCGCCTGCTAGCTCGGGCAGCGAATCGGCCGATGTGAGGACCATCAACAACATGCAACAGGGCGCTCCGCAGGAGCGCTTCACGGTGCGACAGCCCAGGGTCGGCAGCCCATGGTCGCGAGCATCAGCTCTGGAGACGACGCTCCCATGGCACAGCAACGGGACCAGCCCAGGCCTCAAGTTCAAAGCCGCCCGGCGCCGCAGCCTCGCATGCCCTTCGGCCTCAATCAGGTGAATCAGGTGATCAGCAGCGAATCAGAGAGCTGCGGTCCCGTACGACGACGGCAGCCGAGGGTCGAGCCCTCATTCAACGAGCTCCGGCGAGATGCATTGAGCCAGGAGCCCGAGGCCGCTTGAGTCGTACGACGAACGAGCTATTGCAAACGACGTTAGTAGGAAAGCAAAGAAACGATGGAAGTGGTGTCCAACGCCGTCAACGATGAGCTCATCAGCTCTTTGGACTACAAGATGCGAACCAGCAACGCCTCCTACGTGGTCGCCCGCAAGGACGTCCAGTATTTTCCCAGCTCCCTGAGCTCCTTCACCCCGAACACCTCGAGGGTGGCCCGAATTCCCTTGACCAGCGGGTCTGACTTCCTTGACCCCGATTCGATCAAGGTGGGCTTCAGGGTGCAGAACAACGACGGCACGCTGGCCCTCCAGCCCGCGCTGGTGGACCCTGCGTGCTTCGTTAAGTGCGTCCAACTTTTTGCCAACGGCCAGAGCCGTGAGGATCCAAAGGCGTGTTTTGCACACTAGCATATACAAATTGCATCGGCGTAATTCCAACGTCGGCGTATGCATACGCTGGCTATACGCTAGCTATACGCTAGCTATACGCTAGCTATATACGCTAGCTATACGCTACGGCATATAATGAGCCGCGTGCCTGCACGGCATGGCTGTTGTCAATCAAAGCTTGCTCCGCTGATGCGAAAAACGCTTGCGCTGACGGCGTTTACTGGCCAACTTGCGCTGATGGCTTTTGCTTCCGAGCTTGTGTATCTACAGCGTGTTTTCCAAAACAATTGGCTGTCCGCTGATGCGAAAAACGCTTGCACTGATGGCGTTTACTGGCCAGCTGTCCGCTGATGCGAAAAACGCTTGCGCTGATGGCGTTTACTGGCCAACTTGCGCTGATGGCGTTTGCTTGCCGATCCATCTTAATATAAAGTTTTAATGTATATGTATATATATCCGGGTGTTTTCCAAAACAATATGGCTGTCCACTGATGCGAAAAACGCTTGCGCTGATGGCGTTTACTGGCCACGGCTGTCCGCTGATGCGAAAAACGCTTGCGCTGATGGCGTTTACTATAGCGTCTACGCTGCTGCGAAAAACGCTTGCGCTGATGGCGTTTACTTGGCAAAACATTTGAGCCATGCATGAGAACACTCGAGCCAACATTCGAGCGACACACCATCAGCTTTTGCAGGGTGACTTAAGTCGCCCTACAAAAGCTGACATTTGAGCCAAACTCGTTAATATTTTGTCTGCATGGCAGTACGCATCATGCATGCACACATTTATATCGTATGTGCGTGTGCACACGATGCAAGTTTAGGGATTTTCCTGGCTTCTTCTTTTATACATGCGGCTATTGGTCTCTAGGTTGCAAGCTGCCGTCAGATACCTTTGTTTGGTTGAAAGCGGGGTTGCAGATGTAACTCTGGGCATGGAAGTTTGGCTTCCCCACGAGGTCGATTACATGGGATGATAAGAGTGTACTACAATGCAGGGCTTTCGTGTTTTCGGGCTTCGATTCTACATAATTAAGACTCGTTGTTCGTTGCCAAAGGCTTTATTGGTACAAGATGGTCCCTTGGTTATGGCCTATACTCCCTATAGCTGTCTATATTACCTGCTACATGCCGCGAGCTGCCTCGCTGCTTACTGCGATGAACTTTTTCTACTGAGAAAGGTCGGGTTGGATTTGTGGGCGAGAGGTTGGGATCCTGAACACGACCCTGGGAATTGATGAATGCTCTTAATGTTGGGTTCTTGAACACGACCCTGGGAATTGATGAATGCTCTTGATGTTGGGATCCTAAACACGACCCTGGGAATTGACGAATGCTCTTGATGTAAAGCCCGCCAGCCAAATGCCACGAAGCCCCCTGAAAATAGGAGAAACCTGAACACCCAAAACCTCGGACATGCACCCGCTTCGAAAACCTAAAATCACGATTTTTTTCGCGACCCTCGAACCATTCAGATGCCCTGCAGGCATCGTCGCTTCGCATGAGCAGCAGTGCTACTGAAAGCCGTTCGCTTCTCTGAACGCTGCCAATCTTGGAACATGATCTCCTCCAAACTTTGACAGTCATTGACAGCTGCACCAACAGATTCTCGTTTTGCTCGATCCCACAGCAAGGCCAAATACAGGACGTAGCGCTGCTGGACTCTCCGCAACATCGCAACCGAATGGCACTTGCATGCAATTCTTTTGATCTTCCCCATGTAGGATTCGGCATCGAAGTTTTGGTGCATCCGAATATTTATTCGGGTCCGCCTCACGTAACAAGCAAGATGCTGTAGATAGTGGTGTTTGGGTCGGATGTTGCACAAAGGGATCAGGAGGGCTTCGAATTTCAGAGCCAACTTTTGCCACGTTCGTAAATGCACGTGAACCATATCATCGAACTTTCGCGCTTCGCCTCCAGTGAACTTCAAGCCGCCGTTGTCCAGCAATTTCTGAGCTTCACTGAGCCCTCGCAATGAAAGAGCCATTCTCAGCAAATCCACATCCTGTCGCGCCGAGAGAACATGCAAGAGAGCGAGAGAGAGATGAAGAGAGATTAAGAGAAAGGGAGAGAGCACTGAGAGATAGATGGATGCATGCAAAAGAAAACTTAGATATTGAGCAGCATGCGGAATTCTTTATTTTTGGAACAGCAACTCCTTCACCCGGTTTACCACCTCTTTGAGTTTTCTCGACATTCCCCAGATCAGGATCTTGACTTGTGCAGCCTTGAAAATTGTCCCCAGTTCTGGATACTCGCTCCAAGGATCCAGGCCAGTATTTGCAGGGGTCAAAGATAGCAGGGAGCAGGATTTCCTTGAGGGTGGCAATGCTACAACGAACACAGTTAAAGCCACATATTAGAACAAAACAACAAAACATTCTTCAAAAAGTCCAGGGACCCAGTCTTGCTTTTGTATTCGTTCTTGATCCATTTTGTCAACATCTTCAGATCTGCGCGCTTTGTATCCCAGCTAATCACTCCCCGCATGACCATCAGTTTGATGGAAGCAGCAACGGCATCTCTTCCCACTCCAAGCAGGACAACATGCATCCAATCAAAAAACGTATTCTCAAGTCTCCAACCTGGCATCGCCGTCCAAGGCGACAGGTCAGTCGGGGAAGTTGTGTTCAAATACGTTTCGTGACTGACAGTCGTGAGTAGAAAAGGAGCATTTGCAGAAAAGTTTTTGTAGTTCATCCCAGCGACCATATTCTTTGCTGGTTTCATGGCAACACATTGGTCGCAAAGCAGAGTGCAGTTGTAGTGCCTGGTAAAGAAGTGGCACTCCCTTCTCGCTTTCTGGTCCCCGCGAAATCCATAGAAGCATGCCCTGCAGCAGAATTATACATGCACTTCACATCGGACAGCACAGACCTGCAACTCAGACCCACAACCCGAAATCAGACAAAATTGCAGCCCAAGAATCTTCCATCCGCCGGCCAGGGGCAGCCCACGGCTTTTTCCCCGACTCGATTTTGCAGGAAGTTCTTCACCGTAATACCCACGATCTGGAAAGCGACCTTCTTGAAGGATTTTGAAAGACCAGCTCATAAGCCGGGCGACTTCAGCGTGTACGTAGTCTTTCACCTGAGAAATGGCTTATAAGCCTATTGCGATGGATATATTATATTCTACTTCTATGATACATTGCATGAAGTTGAAACGAAATCCCCCACAGGCCTCCTTGGTTTCCATCGCAATGTGAGGAAGGATACAACACAAGAATTGAGTTTGAATGCAATCCACATCCAGCATAGAAGAGAATGCACTGGAAAAAGACCATATGTTGTACTCAGCATTCCTGTACATTTCTGCACCATCAAAGTGAACAAGGAGCGGCACAAGCATGGAGAGATCACAGCTCTCCAAAGCCGGATGATCCTTGATCTCCATCGGCGCAAACCTTTGCAAATGCTTCCAAAATTCTTTGATCGCAGCCGGCGTCTGATGTCCCAGCATGCTCGTACCAAACTGCACAGGGAACAAGGAATCATGTTACTCACCCCGAGCCCACCCGCACAGAAAGACACGTGTGTGAAAACAAACGAGGAAACATTGTTGCAAAAATTTCGTCTTGTCCTCTCTCGCTGTTGCTCTTGCATGTCTTTCTGGTATATGCTCCATGTATGTCCCTGTGCCCGGTCGGAACCTGATGCGCACTTGCAGAATGAAGCTCAGCGAAGATCTCGTGCGGTAGGAGAACGGGTATCCTTCTGGAAGCCGTCAAAGGCTTCCCGGCCTCCTCATCAACATCCTCCGTCTCAAGCATCAAGTCTATGAAGTATGGTTCTAAGCTCACTCCATAGATACCTTGCAGCCACCTATGCAGGTCACGCTCAGCATTCGAAGGATGCGCCCCAAAGGATCCCAGGCTCGCAAAAGCAGAGACAGCTTCCTGCGGAATCCCATCCCGAACCATAGCTTCTGCCAAATTTTGGGCATGCGCCACATGGGCCTTGCCACTCCCAATCATCTCCAGAAGCTCTTCTGCTGCATGAGAATGTGGCATAGATTCATAGTTCATTCTCCGACGAAAGGACGTCGGCCTGCATCACGGCATTACAGCAACATGAAGTGACAAAGCACATTACAACAACATGAAGTGACTGACCAGAGCACATGACGAATGAAACGGCAAAGCCTCGACTTGGATCGGTCATCATCAGCACGGCCTGCCAAGAAACAGAATCTAACTTCGGTGCCCAAAATACAAATGCAGCAGACCGAGCCGTACAACAACCAGCATCACATGAATCATAGTTTTTCAGCAAAACGCAATGAGGATCTCCCCGGCTTTTGCCATGTTGGCAGCTGCACATCTTCCCAAAAGGAGCTTTCACAAGGCATTCGGTGACATGCATAACACACTTGTCTCAGCAGCATGTTGCACCCTAACTTTGGAAATTCATGCAGCATACATATATGTGCATTCAACAGAAGACTCCCTGATAAACACTATCAAGTGTGCATGCACGTCCCAGCGAGGGCTCGCCCGGTGGCAAGTCTACCCCACGTCAGAATGCAACCGTCCCAAGATAAAACGTCATGTGCAGAGCATCTTCAGCCACATCCCCATCAAGCAGCCGCTTTTGCGGCAGGCTTTACAGCAGCACCTTTGGCGCTTGCTTTTGCTCCTGCCTTTTTCTTCTTTGCTTTCAATCCAGACTGCAGGCCGTTTGCTGCGGCCTGTATAGTGTTCATCTGCACACATATCCAGCTTAGTTACACAAGTTCGCACACCGCAAACACGTGAGCCTGGGCTTGCTGGAACCATGGCTTTTTCTTGGCCACATACTTCAAAAACTTGTTCAGCTCGGCATCCGTGGTGCTGTCCTTTTTCTCCAGCTCAGCTAGCCTCTTGTAGGCAAGCTCCATCTGCTTGGAAAACTTCAGCAGCTGTTCGGCCAGCTTTTCCCCGTAGTTGAGGTTGTTCAGGGTGAGGGAGGTTTCGCGAGCTTTCGAGGCATCCTTGAGGATCTCGGGCTTCGCTTCTGCTACCAGCCTTAGCATAAATACACACGCACAAGCAGCAAAGCACACAACATTGAAGTAGCTCAACAAAGCATCCAAGCAACTGCCGCACGGTCTTGGGTTCCATCTCCTTGGCATCTTCCGGTGCCTCTTTGTCCTTTCTGGGCTTCGCTGCTCGCTTTGCCATAGCAGCACCTTCATCGTAGAAGGCCAGAAGCGCCTTCTCGCCAGCCTCAGTGGCTGCATGTACTGCAGGCAGGGTGCCTGCCTGCAGCAGGTTGTTCTCGTCCAAAATCTTCGCCAAGTCCTCATCCATAGCTTGATCCAGAGACAACTTCTGCTTTTCGCTCGTGGAGTTGTCGAGCCGCAGCAAGTGGCCCTGGGGCATGTAGTACCATGCTTCCTCAGCAAGTGCATAATATCATGCACAAGCAACAACAACAACAACAACAACTGAGACAACAACAAAAACAACACAACACAGCTCAGAACCCCAATGGAACCTAGTCACGTCTTCGTTGTCGGGGAAGTCCTTGTCTTTGTACCACCGGCCTTCGGCTTTTCTTGCTGCAATTACTTGCTTGTACATTTCCTGGCAAATGTTTGCAGCGTGAACTCTGTATAACCGGCAACGGACAATTTTAAGCGTTTTGCCTCGTCTGGGTACCTTTTCTTCAACTCCTTTCCCTGAATAGCAGCAACATCCTGGCGCCGTAGCCTCTTCTTTTCATGCTTGCGTTCCATAACCAACTTCACCCTGACAGCATGTAGCAGCGTCCCTCGAAACATATCTGGCTTGAATCAGACAACAGAATGACCATTGCATGCAAGCAAAGTGCACACACAAAATAACAACTCATGCAGCCACATAGCTCGTCCCAATTGCCGTTGCAATCGAGCCAGGCACCGAACAAATCCGTCTTGGATTTGCACGCATAGTTGCTCAGAGCGACGGGGAACTTCTGGCGATTCTTGATGGCACGATCAAAAGCCGCCCATTCCTTCTTGTGTGTAGTACCTTAAATGCACTCGCAATTTCGCATGGCACCTGAAACGAACAAGCAAGCTTGCAATCTAGGGAGCTGTTCCGACACTTCTCACCCGGCTGCTCCTCCACGGCCACGCTCAAAGCTTTGCTTTCAGCTTCATCCTCGGAGGGCTCGCCGTCCGCTTCGTCCGCCGACTCGTCGCTTGACGAGCCAGACCGCATCTCCTCGTCCTCCAGGACACAGTCTTGCGACTGCGGCAGCTCTTCGTCGGTGTCCCAGGTGCCGCCACCTGCTGGGGCCTCTTCATCACTGCCCTCCTCCTCTGCCTCCTCCTCCATATCGCTGTGGTCGTCATTGTCCGAGGCTTCGGGTGCGTCCTCTCCTGACACATCTGAGACCTCCGAGCCCTCTTCAGCTTGCGCTAGCTGCCGAGCCGCCATCTCCGCCTCCAGAAGGGCCAGATTGTCAAAGGCTTCCGCGGCCGAATCATCGTCCTATACTCATCCACCACAAAGGCTGATCAGCTTGCAAATCTAGGTAAAATTATAAGACACCATGGCAATATGCACGGTCCTGCTCCTCCTCAGTCGCGGCCTGCTTCTTGCTTTTGCCTTCCTTCTTCGGCTTCGTGTCCTCGGTTGCCTGGCCTTCCTTCTTCTCTTTGCCTTCCTTCTTCTCTTTGCTTCCCTTCTTCTCCTTGCTTCCTTCCTGCTCCTTGCTTTCCTCCTGCACTTTCTTTTTGCTGTCCTTCTTGTTCTTGCGGTCCCTCTGCTCTGTGCTTTGCTTCTTCTCTTTGCCGTCCTGCTTCTCTTTGCTTTCCTTCTTCTCTTTGCTTTCTTTCTTCTCTTTGCTTTCCTTCCCCTCTTTGCTTTCCTTCTTCTCCTGGCTTTCCTTCTGCTCCTTGCTTTCCTTCTTCTCTTTGCTTTCGTTCTTCTCTTTGCTTTCCTTCTTCCGGCTTTCCTTCGAGACTTTGGTTTCCAGGCTTGCTGTGCTCCTACCCTTAGCGCACTGCTGCAAGGAGGCCATGAGTCTTTCGTGCCGAGACACGTCCTGCTTCGACGGCTTTGCTTTCTTTTTTGGCTGGCTTTCTCGGTCGTCTCGTGACTGCTGGCGTTTCGTTGAAACCCTATGAGTCACCGGATCGCCAGCTACCATGGCTGCAGCACTCAGGAAGCTTCGCAAAACAGGAGCAACCAAAACCTTGAAAGGAATCGCGCGTTGCAACACAAGCTGAATGCATCGAAGCTTCATGTGCTCTCACTGCATGGAATCTTTCTTTGCGGTCAGAAAGAAACAACGGACACAGACAGACAGATAGACAGACTGATATTGGCTGGGCGGGCTGGGGCTGCCTTGGCTGCCTTGGCTGCATGGGCTGTGTGACACTGAATGACATATATGGACAGACAGACTTGCCCATGGGCTGGGTGGGCTGGGGTGGCCTGGCTTGCATGGCTGTATGACACAGACAGATAGATAGGCAGACAGACAGACAGACAGACAGACAGACAGACAGACAGACAGACAGAGAGATGGAGAATCTTCCAGCATGCAAAGAGACACTGCGTGCATGTAAAACATGAATGCATATGTGTGTATATATGTATGATGTATATGTGTATATATATGTATGTATGTATGTATGTATGTATGTATACGTATGCATCAGTTGCATATATATATATATAATCATACATGCATACATACATACATACATACATACATACATACATTACATACATATATATATATACATATAAATACATGCATACATACATACATACATACATATACATACATACATACATACATACATACATACATACATACATACATACATTACATACATATATATATACATATAAATACATGCATACATACATACATACATATACATACATATACATATATTTATACGTATGTATGTTAAGTATATATATATATATATATGCATGCATGCAGTACATGCATGCTACCATATATGTGTATATATATACACATACTTTTATGCTTTTTATATATACACTATATACATAAATATGTATATATGATATATATATATATGTATGATATACTATTTATGGTATACACACCGGCTTTTACAAATCACGGCAGCGGCTTTTACAAATCACGGCAGCGGCCTTATATATACAAATCACGGCAGCGGCCTGCACAAATCACGGCAGCGGCTTTTACAAATCACGGTAGCGGCCTTACAAATCACGGCAGCGACTGCAACAAATCACGGCCGTAATCTTCATCATGTGCCGAATTTAGCTCTCTGTTCTCGTGCTCTGGGTGTTCTGGGGGGATTTGTTGAGATTTGGGGGTCGAAATACAAATCACGACATTCCACGCCAAATCGCATCAGCGGTCACGCCAAATCACACCATCGACTTTTTGCCTTTGCGTCTTTTTTTTTTCGTTTGGGTTTCTCTTTCGGTTGTTTTGGTTTGCAACCAACTCTCCACTCTCCGTTCTCTTTCCCTTCACGCTCTCCCGTTCCCGTCTGCCCTCTTCCTGTGCCCTTTCTTCTTCTCCCCTCTGCTCCCATGCAGGCACCGGTTCACAAGCCGAGCGGAATACATGCAGCATTGCAGCATGGCCCTCTTCGACTGGAGCACGACATTCAGCCAATCGCAGACGGCCCTGCTTCAATGTGAACGGCGGCATGATCCTGCGCGGGTCATGCCAGCATCCATGATTGCATATTGACACGTAGCGCTGGTATTGCAAATCAACATGGCATGCTCACCAGCAGCTTCTGCAATGCACCCTTTTTCGGTGGCCCCCTCACCATAGCTCATGATGCTTGCACTCAATTATGCATGAAGCGCACTATAGCAGCTACTGCTGCTGTCGCAAGAATGCAAGCACCTTCTTTAAACCGGCTTTCCGCTCCCATCTCTTAGAGATCTTACACTCTGCGGGAAGCCGCAAAGGCTGCTTCAGAGCCTCACTGAGATCTGCCCAAGCCTGCTGCTTGATCTCTGCATCGTACTCGGTCCGTAAGGATGACAGAGCAACACCGAACCTGGGAAACAACATTTATCGGTTTCGGGGTTGTCGGGGCCGCACGAACCCGGGTTGTATACATGTAACCATTGAGGGCCCCACTGTCTGGGATAGGCTTGTGAACCCTTGAGGTTTTTTCCGCCATTCACACGCTTGCAGCCAGCGTCGTCGGTGTAATGCACTGACATTTCCCATCCCTTCTTCTGCTCCTCGGAGGGAAGGTCTTCCACCGGTGGCTTGAATCGCGGAAGCTTCTCCAGTATCTTCCGATCTCAGCACATAGCAGAATTGTGTTTATAACCCCCCAAACCATGCACATGATACGTCTTCAAACATCAAGGGATGCTCGGTATATATATACCGACATGGAATTGTGCGGACCAGGCACTGCTATACAACCATGTTGGTTTTTCGACTTCGCGCCGAAATCCTCCATGTGAATAGATACACGATAGCATCGCACACAGCCAAAGAGGAGCTGAATGGCCGGATGGGATTCCATCAATGATCGCTCTGGTTGTTCCAATATCCAGAAAACACCCTTAGCCGAGCAGATTAGGAGGAGTGCAACAATTCGCCACAACATGCAGTTTGCATCCTTCACAGACTGGACAGACTCGTCTCCCAGTACATCACCAGGCCGTCGCATTGTTTTGGATTGAGACCTCAACATGTCATAGCAGCACAGCACACATGTTAGCTATGGGGCAAGCACATCATATGTATTGCATGTATAGCAACTTAGCGCCCTACAGAAATATCCACGATGAGCAAACCGGGGCCGTGAGCTTTCCACTACCAGGTGCAAGGCGGAGGCACTCAAACAATGCATTGCAGTAGCCCAGGGAGCCGAGGATATTCATCGTGCGCTCGTTGTAGGTGATGTCGTGGGAGATAGCATATCGGCCAGCCTGGGAGAAACGGCTAGAGGGAGGGGCTTTTGGGAGGTTTCGGGCGGGGGCAAGCAATCACTTAACTATTCTGCAAGCAAGCAGCTCGCTGCTCGGCTCGAGTAACAGCTTTGCACCCGGCAAAAGTTTCGAAGTGGTGCAACGCAACATCCCATGGCAGGCTTTTAATCTGTGTCACCAAAGCCACGAGTTTAAATATGACCTCGGCAACATACTGGGGAGGCTTGCATGTGGGCGCATACATGACATGCTCATGATGCAGGCAAAGCTCCAATGGTGCACCAATCTTTGCCAAACCATGCCTCACCCACATTTGCTGCAGTTCTCGGGAGCTCTTCCGCACAGCACGCTGTCGCCGCAGCTTCTTCACATTCTTCCGACGATGCTGCTTCATGACAAAAGCGAACAGATAAAGCACACTTTGCATGGTATATAGATACGTGTTGCATCTTGATTACACGTGCTGTATGGTAGATACGTGTTGCATCTTGATTACACATGCTGTCTGCGTGCACATTGCTTCCATGGTCCCACTGGATCAGCACATGGGTTAAACTCTGTAAGCCTGTCGTGCATTTTCACACATTCAAGTGAATCTTCACAGAGTGCAAACACACACACACACACACTCTGCATGCACACACGCGAGCACAAGGCAGACTCGAATGGCTGGATCTGCTTGCGTCACTGAACTATATAAGCCCTGCTCGGTCCTTCCATAGAATCATCCAATGATGTCCACAAATACATCCACCGCAGGCCTGCAGGCATGCATCCGAGATCAAACAGAACTTCATGCTAGTCTTGCAACGCATGGCCTCACCACAAATAGCACGCAACAGACCGTGTAGCTCGCATGCCAGCTTTTTTTGCAGGGCTTCGCGGCGAAGCCTCCTCTTGCCCTAAACCCAGCACAGCAGGCACATTAGCGGAGCATTTTATGAGCCAGCACTGACCCCTATACCTGACTTGGCACCTTGCCTGCAGCACTGCATTCCGGGGGCCCGTCGGGCCCAAACTGTCACAGCACGGCCATGGCACACCAGCAGCAGCTGACAACTTATGTGACACCAGCTGATAAGTTATTGGCATAGCACCGCACAGCCTTGCCTGCAACACTGCAGTCCCGAGGGCCCATGGCCCAAAATCTGCTCCACCACAGCACATGTATGGCATACCAGCAACAGCTCGCACAATTTTGTAGCCAACTGTGACACCAGCTGATGTTTTATCTATACGTTCTCGCAGCCATGCAGCACTGCAGTCCGGAGGCCACAAAATCAAAAGTCTGCTTATACCATGCAACGCACCGCCAAGCACAGCTTATGACATACCATCAAGGCGAACATCTTAACTGCATATTTTGTTCATCACAACACTCGTGGCCGGTGCATAGCAGCCTACAGACGGCGAAAGCCCGAAGGATGGGACATGATCTCGTTGCACTCTATAGTAGTACCGGTCGAAGCAGTATAGTAGAAGAAGAAGTAGTAGTAGTAGAAGAAGAAGTAGTATATATATAGCGGTAGAAGTAGTAGTACAGTAGTAGTATTAGTAGTAGTAGTATTAGTAGTAGTAGTAGTAGTAGTAGTAGTATTAGTAGTAGTAGTAGTAGTAGTAGTAGTAGTATTAGTATTAGTATTAGT